AGGGACAGGCCGAACATGTGGTGCCGCTTCCACGTGTTCGGATCAGGAAACATTCTCTTCTTTCCTTCCGCTTTTTAAAAGTTAATAAAAGCAAGACGTCCCGCGGCTGTGATGCGCATCATCGTGGGATACACATACACACTTCCTAGAGCCCATCAAAGGCCATGTTCGCCTTTTAGCCCGCAGACTTTGGAAACAGTCATATTACAACTATACAGAGGTGATATTCCTTCAATCTATCCGTGTTGAAGACATTTCGTCCTCAAACAAGTGCATCTGGTCTGTCTCGTCATTCTCAGGTCTCTGTCGCCCCCCCGTGGACATAGTGAGTGCATGCAACACAATCCCTTAACTGAGGATGAGGATGCTGCTCGCTTTGGAAAACGTTTGTTCATTAACGTTTTTCATAAACTCCAACCTTTTGCAGAAGGTCTCACGCCACTCTTTGCTCAGATTATCAATTTGTTTTTGGTTTAAGACTAAAAGTAAACAGTACTGAAGGTGACACTCAGCAGAGATTAAATCTATGGATTAAACACTTGAACTCATTTCCCAGTTGCCATGTAACAGACATCCTGCCTCTGCGGAGGCATCCTAAGAGCGCAGGCAGAATGCAGACACCACTGGGCCCGTCGTCTGTCCCACTCTGAAGGCTATTGTTGTGGAGCACACACCACTGTGTTCGGGGCGATCCAGCTGAGAGGAGAACACCTTCGGGCCTTTTCCCATGAAGAGAAGCCTGTGGTTGGTCCATTATCAGGCAGAGGAGAAGGGCACACCTCCCACCACCGTCAAGATCCTCACTCTTCCACTTTTAACTCTCCTCAAATTGTGATCCAGCAGCAAATAAGTGGCGAAATAGACGTTTAAGATGAAGCTCAGTTTGTGTGTGTGAGCGCACAACTGCAGTGAGACAAGAGAGAAGAAACAGGCACTAAATCTGGTGGAGTCCACTGATAGCGCCTGTTTGCACAGCCACTGCCTTTGATCAAATGCTGGGGGAGCAGGGGGTCGTGTGGCGCTGCCGAGGGTCAGCTATATATTACACTCCTAAAAGTGATTACTGAAATTCTTAAGTGAAACCATTCTGCTGCCAGGGTGTGCTCTAATCCCCTGCAGCGCTGTCTGGAGCAGCGCGGGGGCCTCTCTGTGGATCCCCTCTTCCCACACTTGTGTTTTCTATCACAGACCTACAAAAGCCCACAACTTTGGAAACAGAGCCTCTCCAGTTGCACTTTCTCTTCTACAGAGCAGAGCATAAAGAGCAGGTTAGAGGCATGACAGGCAGCAGAAACTTACTTCAACACTGAAGCCGCAAAGAAAGAAGAAACAATGGAATATGAAAACATTATGATCTCAGAACGTCAGGAAATGTTCATTCTTATTCAATAATAATAATAATGCACTGTTGTTATTCGAGAATGCAACACTATTTTTTTTTTTTCTTAGACCAATAGTCTCAGTACACTATGAAAACAAAATGAATTCAAGAAAAACATGTCAGGAAGGGTATTCCCATATACTGACAGTAAAATCCATGAACTCTTTAGAACAGTGTCTCTTTAATCCCTTCACCTGCAGACGCTCCAGCAAAGCCTCAGCGATGTCTCAATAAATTAGAAACGTCAGACTGACTTGGAAACAAACATGTGCAGCTCTGCAGCAGGTGCAGGCAGTGATGGGAATAACGGCGTTACTAGTAACGCGTTACTTTTTTCAGTAACGAGTACTCTAACTAATTACTTTGACAGTAACTATAACGCCGTTATCATTTCCGACATCCCGTTACTGCGCGTTACTCAAGACGCACAATGAACGTGTTGTCATGAGAGAAGGGAGGATGAGAAAACCTCTCAGCAATTATTGGCTGATGTAAATCATATTTCCTTTACAATCTACATGTCTACGGTTGAGAGGATGGCTCATAAATTGTGTTTTTGAAACAAATATGGGTCTTAATCGCGCTCAACCACGGCTTGTATCACCATGAAGTCAGCCACAGAGTAGCGCATGTGAGCGCAGAAGTCGGCTGCATACAATTCCATCGATAAGCTCCTTGCTCTTCCTGGTTTATCTGCTAAGGACAGCAACAAGTTTGGCTAACATACATATAACACATTTTTACATAATCTAAAATGCACATAGGGTAATTTTTCAATTACTATAGGAATGATAAGAAAGAGAGGTGAAGTGTAAGACGGTTGATTTTAGAAATTGGATGCAGCCGGCTGCAGCAAAACAGAGGAGTTTACGGAGGACACACGCGTTTTGTTTTACTTTTTAAAACTCATTGGACTCATTTCCAAATGGAGGATTACATATCTACGCTTAAACTATTATCTGGACTTAAACATGGAACTGGTCTGAACCGAAGTGGTCTGTGCAGGTCATTTATAAGGTATAGCTATAAGGTAAGACCCATAACTCATAGTTTTGCGTTTTGTATGAACAAACAATGCGGGCATAAAACATATTTTGCTGTAGCCAAACAAATTGTCCACTTGATTTATATGATGTATATGTTCATCTGATTGGACTGAAGTCAGTGCTTCACCAGCCTCACCGCTCGTCACCGGTGTTTCCACATTCACAGTGGCGGGCTTTACAGCACAGTGAGAGATGAAGAGTGAACAGGCCTTTTCTAGATGGAAATATTGGCACTGTTAAAGGTAAAAATGCGCACGTCGGGTGCACATTATGTTCCAGATCAAAACGAAAAAGTAACGCAATAGTTACTTTTACTGGTAACTAGTTACTTTTATAGTGGAGTAACTCCGTTAGTAACTCAGTTACTTTTTGGGAGAAGTAACTAGTAACTATAACTAATTACTTTTTCAAAGTAACGTGCCCAACACTGGGTGCAGGTCACTGTCGTTTTTCATTGTGTTTGACTTCACATCACGGGCCACAGCTGATTCATTATATTTTTTTCTTAAACAAGTTTTAGTTTAAAAAGGCTTATATTTTAGATTGACTGATTACGTGAGCTTGCATTCATGGATGGATATCCAAAACATAACACTGTATGTACACAATGTATGTACAATTTAACTGTTAGATACAGTTAGATTTATGTATTACATTGAAAAACTTGAAGAGCAGTGTTAGTAAATGAAAACAATAAATATATATGTCATTACTACTGCAAGATGATATGAAAAATGAGCACTTTATTGTGACTGGCTGGAATCAAATATCTTTACATATTCTTTAGTTTTTCTTTAGACATACATGTCTAAACATGTCTAAACATGTCTAAACATAACACATTGTCTTAAAATACTATTAATCATTTAGTAAAATAAAATAGTTTATGAGGCGTGTTGGGATAAAAAAGTTCTTATTCTGTGGAGAAGCTCTTTCTTGACACTGTCAGGCACCATTGCTGCAAACAAGAGGCAACAGTAAGTAACAACAGTAACTCAAAGCATCGTAACTGAACTACAACAAAACAATTACTTCTTCCTTTAGGAGTAATCTCTGTCACCAGGTCCTCCACAGTCACATGCTCCAGGCCCTTCTCTTTTATGACATCTGTAAAGTAAACAAATATGATGCTGCAAACCTGGATTTACATAATTTATTTGTATGCATTAAAACCAGAGGAAAACACGGAACATAATTTGTACAAAGATCCAAACTTTCACCAATTTGAAAATGAATATTATAAAATGGCACAGTTCTGGCTAGTTAGATATGGGGTCTGAGCATGAGACCCTCAGAGTGCAGCTCCAGCTCTACAGTTTAACAACACACTTTTGGGCCTACAACAAAAGGACATAAAGAGCGTGTAGGATTGTGTTTGAGACAGAAGAGGAGGCAAAATGTGGAGCCGCTGTTGGAAGAGCAATAGTAGTGATTGGATTCAGAGCGTCTGTACCGAGGACATCTGTCTGCAGGTACAAAGATAATAACATGAGCACATAAAGAGCCGCCTCATGCATGTATTCATGTGGGGTTTATACCTGGTGAAGTCCTGATGGGGTTCAGTCCTGATTTAGTACCAGTTTAAACCAAACTCCAAACTCTCAACAGCAAAAACATGCCCACAGTGCCCCTGTGTCGCATAGGGTTTAAACTGCATGTGAACAGTTCAGGGTGGGCTGGATTTAAATTTGGATTAACAGGAGGCATATCCGCCAACTACTGGTGGTTTTTGTATTAAAGACTGCCTCTAAAAAGGTTTAATAGTTGTTCTGCATAGTTTAGTTTCTGCACGTAATATTGAGGTGCACCACTAGGGGCGCGCTAGCGTGTCAACAAAGGGCAGCAGCACGGCTCAGATGTAGCTATAGCATCGGCTCTGCCACGGACTTTGGGTTTGTGTGAACAATTGCTGTGTGCGTCCATAAACGTGAGTAACCTTGTGTGCATCATATTGTAGTAATGTTTTCTACCTTAAGTTGTAGTTTCACCGTGTTTTGTGCAGTTTTTTAGTTGTGTCCCTTTGCATGTTAAACCTACTAAGCGCCTCGTGGTTTCAATTAAGGCTTGTTAAATATATATATTAACGTAGAACACACTTAGTACTGCTATCATTCAGTTTATATAATTTCCTAATTACATCCTGGATATTAAAGTTTGATTGCATTATTTAGTTCTTAGTTGAAGAGGTAAATTATACTGTATGCAGGCATATGTGCCCCTATCGGCCATGTTGCAGGCTCGTGCCTTTGATGATTATTATTGAGGTAATTCTTGCCTGTATACTGAACAGACTTGTAATATATTTTGTATTCTTTTCTGTGTGTCTTGTAGGAAACCACACACACACACACATGCGCATACCCACAAGCAAGATTGAAGTCTAAATTAAAGGCACTGTTCTAATCATCTGGCTGTGGACATTCTCACCTCTCTCTCTCCACTCACCTGAACATATAAATTCAAGTCCTAAACCGACCCCTGTGTTGATTGTGACCTAGCATAAAAACCAGCATACAGTCCTTCCTACAATTTTGGTCCTCCTTCACCGGATCTACGCAACCATTGCAGTCAATATGTTCAGGCCATATGAGCGAGAATCCAGAGAGGTGGACCGCCCACAGAGAAGTAGGAAGCCGCCAGCATATCTACGGGACTACGAGGTCAGTTACCCTGAGAGGTACCACGTACCCTATGATGACCAGACTAAGCGGCTGTCTTCTCCAGAGATTATCAGGTCCATTCATAACATGAGAGAGGAAAATCAGAAGCTGTCCAGAGATGTCCAACGCCTTGTAGACATGATCCAAAGTGCTCCTGCAGCATCCTCACACCCCCAGTCACTGCCTGAGCGCCAGAAGGAAACCTCTACACCAGCACCCACCAGTCGGCAGACGGCAGCAAGTGGTTTCTGGGACCCACGTCCGCCTACTCTAAGTGCCCTACCAGGGATCAAAGAAGTTTCTCCTACTCGACCAGGCATCGGGAATGACATAGTGGAGAACCTCAGAAGACGCTTGCAGGAGTCGGGATTAAAGGATGAAGAAGATGAACAAGATGATAAAGTGATTCAAGCGCATTCACCCACGCCAGATCAGTCACGTCGCCATAGTGACAGAGGCTCCCCATTACCCATTAGAGAGAGCTACACGTTCGGTGATAGCCCCCCTCACCGTAAAACTGATTGGGCTGATGTCAAGCCACGGTACAAAGAGGAGGACTACGATCGCTATGATGGCCGCGCCTATCACCGTGACGACAAGTACCGCACTTCTCCACCTCGCCCAAGTTACCCACAGTACAGTCGTGCGTACAGTTATCCTGCTCCATCCTACCGGCCCAGTAGTCCCAGAGCTCGTCCGGACAGCCGCTACTATGGGTATGAGAGGGGTTACTCACCAGGTTATCGAGACCGACCAGATGACTATTACAGTTCTGGATATGGACGTGAAAGGAGATCAAGGGAAGGTAGATACTCACCTGATCCACCACCTCGATCACCACACCGATCAGGGTCCTATCGCGGACCCAAGCCGACTATCCCAGACTTTAAGACAGAGGATCCACGTGAGTTTGCAAGACTGAAACTGGCCCTGGACAACCTACTCTCGTATGATGCTTCGGAGCACTTTAAGTTTCAAATACTCACAGATCATCTCAAATGTGAAGAGGCACTACTTATCGCTGACTCCTACAGCAACAGTCCGTACCCATTCACGGATACCATGAGAGCACTCAACGAGATGTATGGCCAACCTCAGCAGCTAGCTCTGAAGAGGATTTCCAATCTGATGGATGGGCCCAACATAAGGACTGGAGACATTAGAGCATTCAAGTCATTTGCTCTTCAAGTTCGTGCACTAGTTGGGATGCTACACCAGCTAGGAAGGGAAGGTTACGCAGAGCTGAGATGCGGCTCACATGTCTCTCGCCTCTTAGCTAAGTTGCCACACGACCTAAGAGCCAACTTCCACCGATATGTGAATCCCATCAACACTCCTATTCCCACACTTCTCGACCTGGCTGACTGGCTTGAATATGAGGTGAGAATTCAAGTCAGCGGTGACCAGCACAGCAGTTACTCTCCCAGAGAGAGACAAGCTCCATCTAAGAATCGACGTCCCGACTACAAGTCACAGAAGTCCACCACCATTCTCCTCGGCAGTGAGTCTGTAGAGTCAAATGAGAAAATGGCTAGTGCTCCAGTTCCTGCCAAAGAGGGAACAAATGAAAAGCCCAAGAAATACTGTCCGTTCTGCGATTCAGTGCAACACTACATGAACCAGTGCAGCAACTTCAAACTCATGTCAATGGATCAGAAGACACAGTGGATTAAAACGCATAACAGATGCTGGAGATGTGGACGTGAGCACCAGGCAGCTAAATGCAATCTTAAAGCTAAGTGCAAACAGTGCGAGAGGAAGCACCTGGACGTCCTCCATGAGGTGAACACCAGCCAAAGCGCCACAGCAACTGCTAACACCAAAGCACCAGAAGCAAGCACCTGCCTTGTGAGCTCAGTGTCAGAGACCCTGTACCTTGATCGTCCAGCCAGTAGCCGCCAAGTTTTACTCAAGTTGAGCCGAGTCATCCTCCATAGCGGCAATAAGGTACTAGAGACCTACGCAATATTGGATGACGGGTCGGAGCGCACAATACTACTGAATGATGCTGCTGTCAGCTTGGGCATTCATGGGAAACCTGAGGACCTCACACTCCGCACAGTCCGGCAGGAAGTCTGCACCATCCGCGGAGCCACCGTGTCCTTCTCTGTAGCCCCTGCTTCAGAACCAGGGAAGGTTTTCAAGATCGACAAAGCCTTCACTGCCAGAGAGCTAAACCTCGCTTGCCACACCTATCCAGTCCAAGCTCTGCAGGAGAAATACCGCCACCTGAGAGACATTCCACTGTCGACTATCAAGGATGCCCAGCCACTACTGCTGATTGGGTCAGATTATCCGCATTTGATAACACCAGTTGAGCCCGTACGTCTCGGCACCCCAGGTGGACCTGCAGCAGTACACACCAGACTTGGATGGACTTTGCAAGGCCCCACAAGTCTCTTATACCACCAACTGTCCCCACAGCAATGCCTCTTCACCAAGTGCAGCCCTCCCGAATCTGAGCTCCCCACCAATGTTGAGAAACTTTGGCAGATAGATATCTTGCCATACAGAAGTGAGCGGTTCATTACCAGGTCGAAGCAAGATGTAGAGGCAGTCCGTATGCTGGAGGAGAAGACCACACGACTCCTGGTGGCAGGTGTGAACAGGTATGCTACTCCACTACTTTGGAAGCAGAATCTCCCCCCACTCCAAGCATCCAATGTAGCAGTTATGCCTCAGTTGCGTGGCACAGAGAGACGACTTGTGAGAGACCCTGAGAAAGCTGCCGTTTACTCTAAGGAGATCCACAAGCTCATTGACGCTGGCTACATCAAAGCTATCACCCCTGCCAAGGCTGAAGAGAGCAACTATTCATGGTTTATCCCCCACCACATTGTGCAGCACAATCAGAAATTCCGGATAGTTTTCAACTGCTCCTTCACGCTTGATGGACAGAGTCTGAATGACAACCTCCTTCCTGGACCTACGCTCGGAGCCAGCCTCCTGGGAGTCCTGCTCAGGTTCAGAGAACACCCAGTGGCCATCAGCAGTGATGTGAAAGGAATGTTTCACCAGGTGCGCCTGCTTGAGGAGGACAAACCCTTCCTTCGTTTCCTGTGGCGAGATGTCAAAGTGGACCAGGACCCGACAATCTTTGAGTGGCAAGTTCTCCCTTTTGGTACAACATGCAGCCCATGTTGTGCCACCTTTGCCCTGCAGACTCATGTTCAGAGACACACTGAACCAGAGGAGGATGCTCGCATGTCAGTAGAGCGCTGCTTTTACGTCGATAACTGTTTGCAGAGCCTTCAGTCAGAAGCACAGGCCAAACAGCTGGTGAATCGACTTCACACGCTACTGATGGAAGGTGGCTTTGAGCTTAGAGAATGGGCCAGCAATGTTCCTGCAGTCATTCAACATCTGCCAAAGGAATCCAGGTCAGAGAACAGCACACTCTGGTTCACACAGCAGACAGAAGACCCCCAAGAACGCACTCTTGGTCTCCTGTGGCAATGCAAGTCAGACACCCTGCGGTACAAGCAGCATACAAGTGAGTCCCCTGAACTAACCATGCGTAACATTTACCGCCTTCTTGCCCAACAGTACGATCCTCTAGGATACATTGTTCCTTACACAACCAGAGCTAAGATCATTGTACAGCGTCTGTGGGACAAGAAGCGAGGATGGGACGACCCTAATCTCCCTGAAGAGCTTGTCCAGGCCTGGAGACGGTGGGAAGAGGAGCTTCCACTGTTGTCACAAGTTGCATTACCCAGATGCTACACTGACCGTCACATGGACCACAGTAACAGTAGCCGGACCATACATGTCTTCACTGACGCATCTGAACGTGCCTATGGCTCCGTGGCATACCTGTGCACAGACAATGGGGAAGGACAAGTTCAAGTGGCATTCCTAGCTGCAAGGTCCAGAGTCGCACCAAAGAAACAACTCTCCATACCCCGTCTTGAGCTCTGCGGAGCCCTAACAGGAGCACAGCTAGCTTCAGTCCTCACAAAAGAGCTCACAGTTAAGATCCAAACAGTGGTCTATTGGACTGATTCTACCACAGTCCTTAACTGGCTCCAGTCGGACTCCTGCAGATATAAAGTGTTTGTGGGCACAAGAGTTGCGGAGATTCAGGAGCTTACGGATGTTGAGGCCTGGCGCTACGTTGACTCCACCTCAAACCCTGCAGACGATATCACAAGAGGGAAAACACTAGCTCAGCTTGCTGGTGAGAGCAGATGGAGCCACGGACCCTCCTTTCTCCTACAGCCACCAGCTCAATGGCCAGAGAGTCCAACTAGTCCAGTTACAGAAGAAGTGGAAGAGCTAAGAAACACTGCGTTTTGTGGCTTAGCAACCAGCTCCCGAGATCCAGCTGTACCTGATTCCCAGCAGTTTACCACATTTCAAGAACTTCTGGAAGCTACCACTCAGAAGTTGCACGGGGGGCGGCCGATGGTACAACTCCTACTGCTGATGACTACCAAGAGGCAGAGCTGGCTCTCCTAAAACAAGCACAAACTGAAAGCTTCCCTGATGAAGTGGCTCTTCTCAAAGCCGGTAAGCCCCTTTCTTCTAGTAGTAGATTACTAACTTTGTCTCCTGAGTACGACAGGTCCTCCAGGCTGATCCGAGTTGGGGGAAGACTTAGAAGATGTGACACTCTGAGCCAGGACGTGCTGCATCCCATTCTCCTGTCCTCCTCCCATCCGGTCTCCAAGCTGCTGATTCAGCATTACGACAGCCAGCTGCACCACCCTGGAGCTGAACGCTTGTTCGCAGAGCTGCGCAGGAAGTACTGGATACTCAGAGGCCGAGAAGCAGTTAAGAATCACCAACGCAATTGTGTGGACTGCCAGAAATGGAGAGGCACGCCCCAAGTCCCGAGAATGGCGGATCTACCCCCCTGCCGGCTGAGACTTTACCAACCTGCCTTCTACTCTACAGGTGTGGACTGCTTCGGCCCCATGCTTGTTAAAGTGGGGCGCCGCACTGAGAAGAGATGGGGCATTCTGTACAAGTGCCTTACTACTCGAGCTATCCACTTGGATCTACTGCCCAACATGGACAGCGACTCGTTTCTGATGTCACTCAGGCGCTTCATCTCGCGCAGAGGCAAGCCCTATGAACTCCTCTCAGATCAGGGCACCAATTTCAAAGGAGGAAGTAAGGAGCTTCATGATGCCTTCCTTGCTTTGGAACCTGCAGTGAAAGAACAGCTTGCAGCTCAGCAGATCCGCTTTCGTTTTAATCCTCCCAACGCTCCCCATTTTGGAGGCTCGTGGGAACGTGAAGTGAGATCTGTGAAGACCGCACTCCGCACCACTCTGGGAGCTCAAACTGTGCCAGAGGAAGTCCTGATGACAGTCCTCATTGAAGTAGAGGGCATTCTCAACTCCCGACCCTTGGGTTATGTTTCGTCTGACCTCGCTGACCCTGACCCAGTCACGCCCAACTGCCTGTTGATGGGGCGGCCGGACTCTTCCCTTCCTCAGGTGGTTTACCCGGAGTCAGAGTTGCTGAGTCGTAAAAGGTGGCGGCACTCACAAGTTTTAGCCGACCACTTCTGGAAACATTTCATTCAGCACTTTCTGCCCACTCTACAAGTCCGGCAGAAATGGCAAACGGAGAAAGAAGACATCACCGTGGGAAGCGTTGTGCTCATCGTGGATCAGCAAACGCCCAGAGCCATGTGGCAGGTAGGGACAGTAAAAACTGTGATACCCGGAGCAGATGGCAGAGTGAGGACAGCGGTCGTACAAGTCAAGGACCGGACTTACACTCGCCCAGTGGTCCGTCTCATCAGGCTGCCAGCTTTGCCCCAGGATCATCCAGACACCTAGTAGTCAAATTTACAATGCAAATTTGGGGGCGGCTGTATTAAAGACTGCCTCTAAAAAGGTTTAATAGTTGTTCTGCATAGTTTAGTTTCTGCACGTAATATTGAGGTGCACCACTAGGGGCGCGCTAGCGTGTCAACAAAGGGCAGCAGCACGGCTCAGATGTAGCTATAGCATCGGCTCTGCCACGGACTTTGGGTTTGTGTGAACAATTGCTGTGTGCGTCCATAAACGTGAGTAACCTTGTGTGCATCATATTGTAGTAATGTTTTCTACCTTAAGTTGTAGTTTCACCGTGTTTTGTGCAGTTTTTAAGTTGTGTCCCTTTGCATGTTAAACCTACTAAGCGCCTCGTGGTTTCAATTAAGGCTTGTTAAATATATATATTAACGTAGAACACACTTAGTACTGCTATCATTCAGTTTATATAATTTCCTAATTACATCCTGGATATTAAAGTTTGATTGCATTATTTAGTTCTTAGTTGAAGAGGTAATTCTTGCCTGTATACTGAACAGACTTGTAATATATTTTGTATTCTTTTCTGTGTGTCTTGTAGGAAACCACACACACACACACATGCGCATACCCACAAGCAAGATTGAAGTCTAAATTAAAGGCACTGTTCTAATCATCTGGCTGTGGACATTCTCACCTCTCTCTCTCCACTCACCTGAACATATAAATTCAAGTCCTAAACCGACCCCTGTGTTGATTGTGACCTAGCATAAAAACCAGCATACAGTCCTTCCTACAGTTTTTATAGTAGTTTTGTAGTATTTAGTAACTAACTAAACTTGCTGTTTGCTCATTTTAATGTGAAAAGTGACTCCATACCTTTGCAATGGGCCTTCATCTGATCTTTCCATCCACACTCTGTGAGTTTGGCCTTCAGGAGCTCCTTTAGCCTAAAGAAAAGGTTGGTTTTCAGTCAATGCCAATGGCTAAATCAAAAATCATATTTAATAACTCTTTAGTTATCCAACAAATGTCACAAACAAACGATTAAATACCCAAAACTACAAATGTTCCATTACTAATTCACTGGATAAACTATATTTGCATTCATGTTTCCTCGTCTCCTCTTCTTCATATGAGTCATAGAGTTGAGACACATAACAGAACTAGTCGATCCAAATGATCCTTTACAAATTGAAGCGGCCAATGGTACTGAAATGCCTTATGTGGGATGGATTGAAGTCAAGTTTCAGTTAGCTTCTGGGAGGTGAGGAGTTTCTTGTGCCTATGTTTGTCATAAAAGGTAACCAGCAGCTCCGCCCAATAATAGGCTTTAATGTAATTGAGCGGATAGTTTATCAGTGGACAAGAAATTCAGAGTGACAAAGACAGGTTAATAAATACTGTAAAGACAGCTTTCCCGAACTTAAAGCATAAGACTGTAAGAACATTTATTCAAGCAGTCAGTGTGAACAGGATAAGTGAGTACCTTGTTAAAACAGCAGGCCAAAAAGTACTGATCCCTCGGCGTACTGCAGTCCAAGTTAAATGTAGAGTGTGGACCAAACCCTTTAAAGAGGACACCACACTTGTTTTTGAGCCAGATGATAATCCTCACTGGCCTGAAGGCTGCAGTTCTATGATACATTGGTTATAGTAAAAAAGGGGCCACATCCAAACATTATACTCAGTGTACAAAATCCCACTGATCATGACATATTGCTGACTGGTAAAACTAATATAGGTACGGCGCAGACAGTTACTTCTGTAAACCCAGTTAGTTCTACCAATGAAAAAGAGACAGTTGCTCAAATAAATAATATTGAGGCTCAACATGTAGGTGGGGGAGAGACAAAAACAGAATTGTGGGACCCGCCAGTTGACCTTAGCCACCTCAACAAAAAACAGAGACAGATTGTCAGTGAGATGCTCAGGGAAGAGTCCAGTATCATTTTCAAAATCAGATAGTGATATAGGATGCATTGAGAACCTACAGTTAAAAATATCACTCAAAGACTCAGAACCTGTTGCACGAACCTATATGTCTGTCCCCCAAACCACTGTATGAAGAAATGAAGAACTATCTGACCGATCTGATTGCACAAGGATGGATAGAGCGGTCACAATTCCTCTTATGCCTCACCCATTGTGTGTGTAAGAAAAAAAGATGGCTCACTTAGGCTATGTATAGACTATAGGGAGCTTAATTTAAAGACTCACCCGGACAGACAGCCGATTCCCAGAATCCAAGACATTCTGGATGGTCTTGGTGGTAATCAAGTGTTTTCACTACTTGACCAAGGAAAAGCTTATCACCAAGGGTTTATGGCGAAAGACAGCAGACATTTGACAGCTTTTGTGACACCATGGGGTTTATACGAGTGGACTAGGATACCTTTTGGGCTCATGAATGCCCCTGCGGCCTTTCAGCGATGTATGGAGGAGTGTTTAGAAGACATTCGAGACAAGATTTGTGTCCCTTATTTGGACGATACAATAGTATTTAGTAAGACATTTGAGGACCATGTTGGAGATGTAAGAACCGTTCTGCAGAGACTTAGACAACATGGGATAAAGTTAAAGCCCAGTAAGTGTGAGCTTTTTAAACCCGAGATCCGTTACCTTGGAAGAATAGTCTCGGCTGAGGGAAACAAGATAGATCCCTCTGACATTGCTGCAGTAACAGTACTGAAGGACAGAAAACCAAAGACGGTGGGGGAACTAAGAAAGGTAATGGGACTGTTGAGCTACTACCGACAGTACATTAAAAACTTTTCTCAAATAGCCAGTCCCCTGTATGAGCTCATCAAACACCCGGCAGAAAGAACTCGGGCAAAAACAAAGACACAGACCATGAAATATAACAAGAAAAGGGCAGATATAGTGCCGTCTAACACTCAGATAGACTGGACTGATGCTCACCAAATCGTTCTTGAAACACTTATTGATTGCTTAGTACACCCACCTGTCCTTGCGTATCCGGACTATTCACAGCCCTACATCCTCCATACCGACGCGTCCAACAAAGGGTTAGGAGCGGTTTTGTATCAAAAACAAAATGAAAACCTTCGAGTCATTGCCTACGGCTCTCGAACATTGTCAACTTCAGAAAAAAACTACCATCTGCACTCTGGGAAATTAGAATTCCTAGCCCTTAAATGGGCCATCACAGAAAAGTTTAGGGATTATTTGTACTACGCCCCTTTCTTCACAGTTTACAGTGATAATAATCCCTTGACATATGTGTTATCCAGTGCAAAACTTAACGCCACAGGGAGTAGATGGGTTGCGGAATTAGCAGACTTTAATTTCACTATTAAGTACAGGCCCGGCAAAGAAAACATTGATGCTGATAGATTGTCAAGGATGCCAATAGATGCTGAAGAACTTATGAAACAGTGTGTACTGAGGAAATGTCTTATGATGCTGTTGGTACTACAGTTCAAGCTGTGGAGATGCCCGAATCCACTGCATCTTGGTCAATGGGTATTAGTGTTAACCACGTTTTGGACTGTAAAAGTATCCCTATTGTCTCACTAACACCTGCACAGCTGAAAAATGATCAATCTACTGACCCAAATATAGGACGAGTATTGACATTTAAATTGTCCAAAAAGAAACCCACGAATCAACAAATGAAAGACTGTAGTGCACAGAGCCGAGTCCTTCTACGCGAATGGGACAGGTTACATCTGGATAAAAATGGAGTCTTGTGGAGAGAAACAGCCCACAGGAAACAGTTGGTGCTGCCTGAAGAACACAAAATGACTGTATTGCAGGAACTACATAACAACATGGGGCACCAGGGTACGGACAGGACTGTGTCACTTGTGAGAGACCGCTTTTTCTGGCCGCACATGCAACGGGACATAGAGCTATATGTAATGAGTTGTGCTTGTCTTAAACAGAAAAAGCCCAGCAGGGAATCTAGGGCGCCACTCGTGAACATTGTGACAACTCAGCCATTCGAATTGGTGTCAGTGGACTTTCTCCATCTCGACAAGTGTAGAGGTGGGTACGAGTACATATTGGTCATAGTTGATCATTTCACCAGATTTGCACAGGCGTACCCCACCACCTCAAAATCCGGCAAAACTGTAGCTGATAAAATCTTCAATGACTATGCACTAAAATTTGGATTCCCATCACGCATTCATCACGATCAGGGTGGTGAATTTGAAAACAATCTGTTCTCTCAGTTAAGCAAGTATTGTAGTGTTACTGGATCAAGGACTACTCCATACCACCCGCAGGGTAATGGACAAGTAGAACGCTTTAACAGAACATTGTTGCAGATGCTAAAAACTCTCACAGACAAAGACAAACTAAACTGGAAAGACTCCTTAAATAAGTTGATCTTTGCTTATAACTGCACCAAAACAGAAGTAACTGGGTTTTCTCCCTTCTACTTATTGTATGGTCGTTCACCAAGATTACCCATTGACATGTTGTTTGACTTACCTGTTGAGGCAGGAAGGGGTAGTCAACTTGAATATGTGGACGAATGGCGCAAGGGAATGCAGGAGGCATATAACATTGCAAAGGAAAATGCACAAAAAGCTGCTCAAAGAAACAAAAAGACGTTTGATGCAAAAGTGAGAACCTCTCTGTTGTGTCCAGGTGATCGAGTGCTGCTGCGCAATATGACACCTCGCGGTGGCTCGGGAAAATTGAGAAATCACTGGGAAGATCACGTCCACATTGTAGTCAGACAAGTAGGAAAGGATGTCCCAGTGTATGAGCTCAGTCCAGAGCACGGAAAAGGCAAAACTAGGGTACTTCACCGGAATCTACTTTTGCCCTGTGATCACTTGCCACCGGAAATAAAAACTCCTTCACCTGTGAAACCAAAAAAGGACAAAATTGTGGAGAAAACTTCAACACAAGATTCGGAGGATGAAGAAGACGAGTACTATTTCCCAGTGTCAACTGTACAAGGACAGCCGGATATGACAGAAAATGACTGTGAGCCTAACATTAATCAACCATCAGAACCTGTCCTGCTTCGGCTTGAGGACGCCGCTGGAAGTGTGGATGTGCCGGAAAAGGATGCAGACGATGTGGAGGGGTCTTCGATTGGGAGTACGCAGGAAGAAGAGCTGCAGCGAGAAGCTCCACGCCCACAAAGAAAACGTAGGGCGCCAAGAATGTTCAGATATGACTCACTCGGGACTCCGTCATGCTATTATGTTGATGCAGTTACACCTTATGGGCCTCCTGCATGGCATGTGCCAATTTTCTCGTAATAGCAACACAAACTCTTTACTTTTGTGGGATTTGATTTGAACCAAATTCAAATTGGACAATTGTTTTGGTACTAAGGTTAATGTTTTGTTATTGTTACTCACTGGTAATTTGAGGATGCAACCAGTTGTTTCATGCTTTTGCAGGTTCTATGTGTTTTGTGTTTGTACCTGTGACTTGGAGTACTACTTACGGAAATGTTGCGGACAACATTTATTTTTGTGGGGGAGTGTGTAACCAGATGATTTTAGTTGTTAATGCAGTTACGTGGAGTGTCCAGCAGGGGGAGACGCTCTTGAGCTTCACCTAGGCTACGTCTTTCCTCATTCATAAACCAGCAAGGCTTGAGGAAAGACGTGTCCTGGTCTTATTTTTATTTTATCCCCTTTTCAGGTATGGTATGGTATGCAGAATGTCATAAACCAGTCATTATTGTTTTATATTGAGTCAATGTAGCTGTGAACCGAATCCAGTGTGATAATTTAGTCTAGTAGGCTGTTGTTTCAAGGAGCTCCGCTAGTTGCTAACCAAATTAGCATTAGCTTCTCGTTGCTAGCGCGGGAACAGTGGAAATCGTTGAATGTTAATTTAAATGTGTTCAAATGTAAGAAAGATTGTTTTTCTCATTCATAAACCAGCAAGGCTTGAGGAAAGACGTGTCCTGGTCTTATTTTTATTTTATCCCCTTTTCAGGGCTATTACATTCTCTTCATCAGGTTGCCACAGTTACCCGAGTGAACGTGTGAGAGAAAATGTGGAACCTCGGTAATTTTGTGTTAAAATAGAGAAGAAGAAAAAAAAGAAAATAAATATACGATTGTGGTGAAGTTAATTATAAAGTAGAAGTTACTCAGAAAGTACCTTGATCACTTGAAAAACATTACCATTCACTATTTGGTTTTCTATTTTTAGGCCCGAGCCCCGAACGGGGAAAGGGCCTATTGTTTTTGCTCAACCCATGTACCTTCAAAATGACCTAAGGGATTTTTGATTAGTGAAACAGCGGAGCGGCAAAATGTGAGTGCTTATTGGCCGTTTTTCACAAATTTTGCTCCCGTTTGCACAAACAAAGTCTGATTTGCACAAAACTTGAATCCGATGTTCAACTCCAGGGTTTAGGTCAGATGAAAGTGAAATATTTGAAATTGGCCCCATTAGTGCCCCCTACAGATTGAAGCAAAGTTTTACATGGGGTGCCAAACAGCTCTAATCATCATATTCATTACAATTTGACTAACGTTCTTCTATGGCTACAGCAACAAATCATCACACGGCGGCCCCACCTCCTTTGCGCGGTGCTGCGTGGTACGGCGTAGTGCGGGGCGTTGTGGAGCGGCGCGGGGTGGCGTGGTGCGGGGCGGCGTGGTGCATGGCGGCTTGGTGCGGGGCGGCTTGATGAGGGGCGGCTTGGTGCGGGGTGGTGCGCGCGGTGCGGCGAGGGCCGTTCGACGTTGCTTGCGGCTTTAATATTAATTTTGTTCTCTCTGCCTGCCTATATTTTCTACTTATTACACATTATTTCACATTATAAGACAAGACCCATAAATTGCCTCATAAGGGCCAAAATGTTTTGTCTTTAAAAAGAACAATTGTGTATAATGTAATCATTTCTGAGGAGGATGAGGATCAGTAAGGAGCTAAGCTTTGAAATGTTCTTCAGTTTGTCTTTTTACCTTGGGACTGGGAGTTTCAGCGCTTTACAAACAGCCACCTCCCTTAAGCACTGTAGAATGTTGCATCTATGTGTTTTTCTACCTTGGTGATTATCTACTTAGTAACATTATAATTCCCTTTGCACTAAAGATAAAGGCATTCGGAGCAACTTTGCACCTGGCACATGTTCTTTTCACTCAAATTCAATCACAAGATTATTTGCTTTTTTGAGCAATATTCCAATGATAATTCCACAGAAATAATGGGCTCCTTAGTTTTAACATTTTATATAAATATAAATCAATAGTGGACAGATATGGTCATGTATGAGGAGGTGTTTTGGACATACTGTATGAATGGTGTTCTCTTCATCAGGTTGCCACGTTACCCGAGTGAACGTGTGAATAGGCCGTTTGAAAACAGTGGTGGAAAAGGGTCAGTGGATATCCGTCATTATTCTGCGTCTGCGTAAAGGTTACAGCCATGAAGCACTAATTCAGTATGTCTTCGTCAACACACTCTGTCTTCATCCCCTGACCTATTTTACACTATGAGATGGTTTGGATGTTGCTTGTAAAAGGAATTCTGCTACTGTTAGGGTGTACTCTATATTTGTCCCTGTATGGTTTTGTCTTCAGTGCAGTGTTGACAGCTCATTTAAATGTGCGTCATTAATTCAAATACAAATTAGCATCAGCATGTGTTCTTTTATTCTCTCTTTCCCCTTTTACCCTCTTTCCCTGGGTGCTGCTCTATAACAAAGGTTGGGTCAAATACATAGATCAAATCTTTGAAAGTACAATACATTAACAGACCCGTAAATTTAATCCACAGTAACTACACTGTATTAAATTAAACATTGGATCAACTTAATAAAATTAGAGTAAACATTCACAATAAAGATTATACATTGACCTAAGGTTGAGAAAGCATTCAGTTCAATCTAAATTTCTGCATTTTCTTAATTTGGTGTAAGTCAAGATTTTACATTGGCTCAAATATGAGAAAAATGTATGCATTTCATGCAAACTCTTTTCTGAATTTGGTGTATATAAGAAAACTAAATTGGCTTGAGTGTACAAGAAGGGTTTTTACAGAGTTGATCCCAATTTAGTTTTATTCAATATGAAATATGTATTTGCAGCACATGTATTTTTATCTTTCACCTGGAGGAAGTTTGTTAGATATTGTAATCACCATATGGTAAGGTCCTGAACTTATGCACTCTCATGATGTGAAGTAATAATGCTTGCAACTCTGTTGGAACTGAACTTCAAGGAAGTATAGTGACCATTTTGTAGCATCTGATCTTTTCAGTATTTATTAGATGTATGAAACACACTTTTAAGATTCTCTCAACCGTCTCCTCAACCGTCCACTCAAGTTCTGCCTTCAATGTCTTCTTCTTCCAGAACTTTCTCTCAGATTTCATGTGTGTGCATGCGCGAATTGCGCTCGATTGATAAAAGTAATTTGATCGAATGTATAATTTGAATCTTATTTTTATGTTTTACTTTTATATTGTATCAATCTACAAAAGTAGATTGAAGGAGACATCATATTTACAAAATGTAATTTTACTTAACAATTTAGTATGTTTAGGCTATTAGGATGAAAAAAAAAAAACCATCAAATTAAACACAGCAATATTTTACTTTTTTGGCCCGTTGACCTGTTTACTTTTTTCAGTGTAGTTCCTATCTCCTAGCAGTACCAAAACTGTTTGGTTCTAGTAATAAAGATAAAAAGGCATACTGTAGGTTTAACATAGGGCTTTTATTGACACTCAAAGACGCTTCACATGTTCTTATTCTTTCACTCCTAAACAGAGGTGATAAACTTCTGCTGTAGCAAACTGACAGAAGCGAGGCAACCAGAACGTGCCATCGGTTCCTCCGACCACCACCAACCATTCTCACACAAGAGACTCATTCTAATGGAACCTGCAGATTCAAACAAAGACAGTCGCAGGAACGATGCAAAGGAAACGGCTGTACAGTATATAAGTGTTCGATATGCAACCAAAACTCTAGTCCACAGCCTCTTCGTATATCAGGCTCGTGAGCCATGAGCCCAAACTGCTTTTCCTTAGATTCCTTCAAAGCACGAAACAATCTGCACCAAAGTGCCTCGTCCATGTTCCCCGCAGCCGCTCCAGGCCTTGCCAGGTATATTCGAGGGTGCACGGGTAGTTACGCAAGGGTCTTGCGGCAATCCTTGCGCAAGCTCAGCGGCACGCGACTGTACTCCCTGCTTTCACGATAGAAAAGGTAAAATAGGTACCCCAGCTTTAACAATGACAACGGGTCAATGGACCCTTCTAGGTGTGACGATTGAGATGAGAGTGAATTATTCAACTACAACGACTATAATAGCAAGTGACTTAGGGTCAAGATCACTACACAAAAATACACAATGTTTGAAATCAAACTTTTGAACATTTAGAACACGTAAGTGTGTTACCTATAAAAAAAATGGTGTACACACACACACACACACACAATAATCCTAAAACATATTCCATATTATTTGGACAGTTGGCCTTTTTCAAAAGCCTTTTCTAATGCTCTGGACCCTGGACTTATGGAGGACCAGAGTGTCTGTGTCCATCACTGACACTTGATTCAAGTCCAGATGATACTGCTTTGGATTTTTGCCTGAAGCCCCCACTGAAAAAGCAAGGCTATGCCGTCACCGACAGTCCTGCTATGGACTCACCACCTGCAGGAGGATCAGTGAGGGGCTGGTGCCAAGAAATGCATTAAGGGGTTGAAAATGGAAGAAAGGATGGACCTTTAATATTAAAAATAATAATGCTGGGTTGTTTCTACCTTCACCGACAATGTTAAACCAATATAACTGTATGCTATACCACCTCCCTGTTATATGTATTGCTAACACATCTATCACATACTCTGAACTGAATCAGCTATCGCCATCTGCAGAAATCCATGGGGAAGAACGCAGTTCTGTGATAGATTGTCCCATCTTTAAATCATAGGGTTTTTTGCGGAAGTTGGATCGAGATGAAGCTACAGTATAGTGGAAGTACTGATGGTCATGAATTTCCCTTTGCAATTATATAACAGAAAAATCATGGGCGATTTCTCATTTCTAAAACATCCAAATATGTTTTACTGTATTTTGTCAAGGCTTATAGGGAAAATAGTAAAAATCTTATCAACCTTTTGAAACTTCCACTGACCTCAAATTGCGGGCAAATACTTGGGAGACTTTTTCAACAATAAACGACTATAGTATCACAAAACCTAATTGTTAACTTTTCCCCAGAATAATTTAAAGGTAAATGTTATAGCCTACCACAATAAATTAGCCAGGAAAAAGGTAAAGTTTTTGATGTATATTCTCAAAAACGACAAAACAGAAATAAATCTGAAAACATTTAAAAAACAAAGTGAATTCAGAAGCAGTGCATACAAAAGAACTCATTATGTTTTGTCTATGTTATTTCCCACAAAATTGCACACAGAAATGTTTTTTAAGACTAATGCTAATTTAAGACTTTGCTTCTTCCCTGTTCATAATTATCTCTGTGGTCCATTCACGAAAGCCACTGTCCATTGATTATTTCTGACAGAAGAAGCTATTTCTGTGTAGTTGGTAAAAGCTCTTTTCTTCAGTGATCAAAGGATTATTGAAAACCCAGTGCACACAGCATTATATTGAATATCTAAATGAGAAATCACTTGAATCATCTTGTCATTTAGTCTTGGTTGTTGATTTAATGAGTAACCAAAAGCTTTGAAAGCAAAATATCCATCATGCATAAAGTTATGTATCCAAACATTTTCCCAAGAGAGTGAAGCCAATTTGCAGCATAATGTTCGTTTTATGGGATCAAAAATGATACTGTACACACTCTCAATCCTCTTCTCTGTTGCACAATTGAAAGAAACAAGGATTTGACAAGAGGAGCATTAACAAATGTACAGTATGCCAAAATTAAAAACACATACAAAAGAATGTGTTCAGATGGGACTTTTAAGTGGTACACCAAAGGTTATCCAAGTGGTGAAATTAAACTATGTACGAGTGACAGAGCCACAAATGTTCATATTTGTACAACAAATTGTACTACAAATGGCTCCCATTTAAATACCAAAGTCTGATTTACACCAAATTAAAATTATGTGGAGCTCCTGCTTCTGGTCCTACTGCATGTGGAAAAACAGAACGGGTTTGTTTCCACCCCCTACAGAGGGTAGAAGAATAATGGAGCAGAAAATGCAGGTATTTGAAAATGTCTGAAATTCTCCAATCCAAAAAGTCAATAATACCTAAGCTCCAATTGATTTATGTTAAGGGTAAGTGGTCTCTTAAGTGATCTTATGTACAATCTATATACTGTACCTGCGAAAGTGTGTCTGATCTATTAACATTGAGCCAAATGCATTGTGGATATGCAATCAGCAGTGAGTGCAGAACAAACAGGAAGATCAAGAGCGCGTTAGAACATGTTTTTCTACCGTTGGTTTGGTATGGTTTGGCAAAGACCGTCCATCCCCGCTTGCGGCTCTATTTATTTATTTATACATATTTTCCATGAATGGAGACTTGGAGCTTTTGCCAGTGAATGTTGTGATGCATGCATACATTTGAATCATTTTACCCTGAGTCCTGCTGATTGACACTTGTGCCTCCGAGTGGCCATCTGCTTCTGATACGGTTCCTTCTTTGCATCAGTTTTAAGAACCAATACATCAGGTAAATTGTTAAGAGTGAATTGTGGGCTTGCCATAGGCTCTGTGATCACATAATAAATTACTTATGCAGAATTGTCCCTTGGTGTGTATTTGTGTGTTGGTTATTTTCCATTTCTGTTTAATGAATATTTCAAGCTCTCCTTTATGGAATGTTGGTAATTGCACGAGGAATGGGAAAATCTGTCACATGGAACAAATGTCTTCAAGATGTTGAATGGATGTGAAAGCCGAGCCATACCGTTGGATTAACATTCTGATTCCAGGTGATGGTGATTGTGGTTAGATGTATTGATGGTGACACTTCATTCATAGGATCATGGGTGCTCATCACGGGGTATTTACGGACCTGGTTTTGAATTGTTGAATAATGCATTGCGTGTTGAGAGATGGATGCTAGTTGGGCTTCCATACAAGGGAAAAGTCTCAACAGATGAAAAATAGTAGAGTGGCAGTATTATCTTTCTACATTTGTCACTGTCCCAGTTAATGAAAAAGAGGAATGAGATCATGATCTAAGTGCTTTTCACACGGGATTAGAATTACCTAAACCTACACACAAGATAAGCATGCAGCAGTGGCCAATAGGAGTGCAAGCCCTCAATGGAGCGCCTGCCATGTTTTTAATTAGAAAAAAACAAACACATAATAGAGTTGTGTGTGTTCCTTAAACAT